TCTCTCTCTCTCTCTCTCTCTCTCTCTCTCTCTCTCTCTCTCTCTCTCTCTCTCTCTCTCTCTCTCTCTCTCTCTCTCTCTCTCCCCCCCTCTATCTCTCTCTGCGTTATTGGAGCAAAAACCCTTACAAAAGTATCTGTTTGGGATTTTCAATGTTTCTCCTGGTCAATAACAAGATGTTGTCTGCCGAATCCTATATGGTTTAAGGAAGGGAGACTACAATATCACTGAAATATAAGAAGGTGTTAAGACCTTGTTAAAACGTTGCATGTTGGGGTAGGGGACTATTGTTTTCCATAAGGGGAAAAGTGTATACCTAACCTCGTGTCAAGCGTGGTCACCTTACCTACATAGTTGGGGTGTAGTCGGCCTTGGTTATGTGGGGTGGGGCTGTTCTACTCTGTATGCAGGGTATTGATAGGGTCATAACGCTGCAATCGGAGGGAATGTGGTGAGACTTGAATCTAAAGCAGGGCTTCATGTCAAGATGTTATCCTCTTTAGCGGATTACACAACTCCTCGATACATATTACAAAAGGCTCATAAACATCAGATATGATAGTTATTAGAAAGAGATCAATTGTCGGACGGGGATTTTGGATGGATGGTTTCTCTCTGGATGATTCGTTTAGACTTCGTCTGAATAACTTTCAAGAGGTTGATACGTTTAGAAAATTTATCAAAGGTTATTCCTGACTCACTTGGGTTTTTACTCAGGTGGCACACGAGTGTTAACCGAATGGATTTCGTTTTGGATCTGGTCTCTGTGCAAGGATGACACGCCTGTTTGCAAGGCGTTTCGACAGTAACAACGTGTCGTTGGCATTGGCTAACGGACAAAAAAGAAAAGTACGAACGAAAAAAGAAAAAAAAAAGGGGGGAGGAGGCTCCTCAGAGGAAAAAAAAAAAAAAGTTTAAAATAAACAAATAGACATTTCATGTAAGTTTTTTTTTTTTTTTTTTCCAGTTTTCTCCCATTTCGTAGACGTTTGGAACGTTGAGGTTGGAGAAACGGGGAGGGAGTTGTACCAGTCAACTAGGCGCTGGAGTTAGAAAGGAAAAAAAAGAAAAAAAAAGAGAAAAGAAGATGAAGCAACTATGTTTCGAGGTAGGAAGGAAAATGGGTTCCCACTTCGTTTCGGGTCGAATACTTTTGATAACGGGATCTTAGATCTCGTGGCTCAT